AAGTTAAATAAGCAAAAAGGGGGGAGAAGTGAGGGGTCCGACTGAAATGATAATAATAATTAGGGGGCTTGATTTACAGCGAAAAGATTTAACTGAAGGCTCGCCGTTGGGGGGAATGATATTACAGGGGGTCGTTGATATGTGTTTGGGGGAAAGGTAATACAGGGTACTCACGGGTATTGCGGCTATTCCAATCCTTTCTGAACGATCCTCAGCACATACAAAATAATCCACACCATGGCCTTTCCTCCGTTCGTCACTCCTGGGTCTGTCTTGAGTTTTCCACGGACACGTCTTACACCAATTCCTCGCAATTAATCTCACACTTCCTCGACAATTCTCCTCTAAACTCTCCTCAAATTTCTCCTCAAAATTCTCTTCAGAACTCTCCTCAAAATTTTCTCACAACAATTGTCTCACAAAAATTCTCTCACAAAAATTCCTCAAAATCTCTGTTCCGCACGGGGCAGCTGTATTACGAGTGATGGCTTCCCCATCCTCGTTATTCTTCTTCCCCGATTATCACCGATCGGTCAATCGGGGACACTCGTTATTGGGTGTCGTCGTCCCAATTATTCGTTGTTCCGGGATTTCTTTCTCTTCCGGGGTCACGTGGTACGTGACGTCTTCATGGGGGGGTTTTCTTTCCATCCATCGGCGCGTGTGGTGACGAGGGGAACGGCGGGTTAAAGCGGCGTTTTCTCCTTCTCTCGTTGATGTCGTTTCCAGCGGCGCGAGTGTAGGGATAAGGGCGGGGGGGCGCGGCGCAAGGGAAAGGAATATTTTTGGGAGTGGGAGCCAACGGGGACAGGTTTCCCAACCTGTTGCCGTGTTCTTATAATTCTAACTTAATTCTAATTATTCCTACGAAAAGAAGTGTATATTAGGGGGCTGTGGAGGGGTCAAATAACAAGTGCCTCGTCACAGCTGTCCCGGGGGTAGAGAATGCAAGGGGTTTCCACAACCCCATGCTGCACGATACGATCCCTTTTCCTACTTTGACTCTACTGCCAGGTTTTCTGCGGCTGACTCCGGGAGCGAAGGGCTGGAAGGAAGGCTATCATCTGTTAATTCTTTAATTTAAATTTTCTACTTCACACTCATCACAGGCACACTGATTCACCCTTTCCTTTCCCAACAATTTGTTCATCCATGCGTTCCATACGGGGGGGTTTATATCAAGGATACCACGATTGTTCAGAACTGGTTTTTATTATGCGTGTAAACACAATGTACAGCGGGTGCGTGCAACACAACGTAATTATGCGAGAAAAGAAAAAAAAGAAACAAACGGCGGTGCACTTCCGCAACAGGGGGGGGGGGGAGAGGTCGATCCAGGGTTGTTTCTAGGGGAGACGTCGACAGTCAGGGCAGGACGCAACGTCTACTCCCCAGCGGCCACAGAAGTAACAACGACGAGCCATAACTGGGCATTCCTTGGCCCAGTGGTCGCCGTGGCACCTCCTGCATCCACTGAAGAGCAGTGGGGACTGTGGGGGGTTGGGGGAGGTTTGTGGGTAGCCGGGGTGTCGTCTGACCGTTTTGGGGGGCTGGTAAGAGCTGGGTCGAGGGATACGAAGGGCCATCAGGGCAGGGACAGGTGAGGATCGGCGTGGGGAAGGTAGTAGGATTATGATGGGTCGTGAGGGAGGAGGCCCGCGGGGCTGGGTGGGTGAGGTTTGGGTGGTGGTGGGTGTCGAGGGTGCAGTTGTTGGGCGTCGGGTGGGGGTTATCGGGCGAACCTGTAGTGGAGCGAGGGCGCTAATCAGGTGTTTAAGGGAGCGGTTGGGAGTCTGCGGGGCCGTCTCAAAGTCGTCGTGGGGTCGGGTGGCGATGGGGAGTTGGTCGAGGGGGTCGTCGAGGGGGGTAGTGGGACGTTTCGTGGGTCGACCTCGTCGTCGTCTGGGGGGGGGGCGGGGTCATCAGGGCCTTGTGGTGGGGTTCCTCCTGGGGCGGTTCTTGGGGCTTCTCCTGAGGCTTCTCCTGAGGCTTCTCCTGGGGCTTCGCCTGGGGCTTCTCCTGGGGCTTCGACTGGGGCTTCTCCTGGGGCTTCGCCTGGAGCTTCTCCTGGGGCTTTGCCTGGGCTCTCCACCTCTCCTGCCTTATCTCGTATCTGGCCTGGACCAGCATTTCCTCCTGCGCTTTCCAGGCCGCTGAGGGGTGATGTGGTGGGGGAGCTTCCTCGTCGAGGGGAGGCGAGTATATTCCCCTTCCGTAGGGGGCTCTTCCACTGGTCGGCATCTGAAAGGGGTCGAAGGTGGTAGGGTGTCAGGTCGGCAATATGTATCTTGTATATCCTATTACCTCGGGGGTCTTCGAGGTCATATAGGCTAGGGGAAAGTATGTTAACAATTTGGTAGGGGCCGTCGTATTTTGGGGCTAATTTTGCAGCGAAGTGTTGGGCTGCCTGCGATAGGGGTCGGCACCTTCTCAGTACTAATTCACCCACCCGGAAAATCTCATCTCGTCGGCCTTCGTCATAATGCTCCGCTTGCTTCGCGAAAGCTTCACCCATGTATTTTTTCGCGAGATCATAAAAGTAGTGCATTTTTTCGAGTCGTAATTTCCAGGGGCCCGTGAGAGAGGGATCAGGGCATTTATGGGCGCCATTTGGTGATTTAATTAGAGGACTAGGGGGTGGGGGGATGCGACCCATATTTAGGAATGCGGGCGAGACACCCAGGGAGGAATGAATCGATGTGTTCAGGGCAAACGCGAGTTCGGGTAAGTGCTGGTCCCAATCTCGGTGATTGTCACCATGCCTATCATGGCTTTGAGGGAGCGATTGATTCTTTCAACAGGGTTTGATTGGGGGTGATAGGGGGGGGTGGTGATGTGGGTAATACCTAATTGGGCGAGGGGTTTCGCGAGCTCTTTCCCAACGAATTCTGTGCCGTTATCACTGAGGAAAAACTGAGGCTTTCCCCAGCGTAGAATCACTGTCTCATAGAATACTTTCCAAATACTTTTCGCATTGGCTTTTCTAAGGGGCTTGATCTCTACGTACCGGGTAAAAACATCTTCTAAGACTAGGAGGTAACGATAGTGATTTTTAGAGGGAAGGAATGGGCCCATTATCTCACCTGCGACTGTGGACCAGGGTTCGGAGGTTGTTCGCTCCCGCATCAACCCTTTGGGACTGGTTTGAATCGACTTATACCGCTGGCATTGTGGACAGGACCTGACAAATTTAGCTACATCGCGGTAGGTTCCGGGCCAATAAAAATATAGGGCGACGCGGTGATACGTCTTGTCGATTCCGCCATGGGCTGCGTAAGGGCTGTCATGGGCGTCGCGTATCGTCTCGTGTCTCAGTCCCGGGGGTAGAACGGTTTTCCAACGGTTTAGGTCAGGGACAGTGAGGTCAATTTGAGGGCAGGGGCGAAGGAAATATAAAACATCATCTTCTACGGTCCAGTCAGGGTATTTGTGGGGGTTGGTAAGTACGCCCAGTTTCTTCTTTTGATACGACCTGTCCGGGGAGGAATTAATTAACGCGAGGGCTGTGAAGGCATTGAGGCAAACACGGGGAAGGGCGTCGGGGATGGTGTGGAGGGAACCTTTTCGGTGAACGATGGTCATGTCGTAGTTCTGTAATTCTAATGCCCACCGGGCCACTCGAGAGGTGGGATTTTTTAAATTTAACAACCATTTTAAACTTGAGTGGGCTGTTATCACGGTAAATTTCCCTCCTTCGATGTAGGGGTGAAACTTACGCGTGGCCCACAAAACTGCTAAGCATTCTCTCTCGGTCACAGTATAGTTTCGTTCGGCGGGGGTCAGGACTCTACTAGCGAAGTAAATCGGTCGGTCCAGTCCAGTCGACGAGTTTGGGTGGGCAGGATCGGATCCAAACTCCGATTCCTGTGTCAACACCGCTCCTATCGCCATGTCACGTGCGTCCGTCTGAAGGGTGAAGGGTTTGGAAAAATCGGGGCGGGCTAGAACGGGGGTAGTCCTCAGGGAAATCTTTAATTTATCGAAAGCGGTCTGGTGTTCGTCAGTGCAGGTCCATGTTACATTTTTCCCTATCAGTCCGAGCAAGGGGATTTTGTCATCGGAAACGGAGGGCAAAAATCGGGAATACCATCCAACCATACCGAGAAATCTCTGCAACTCTTTTACATTCCGAGGGGGTGGGTAATCAGTAATAGGGGCAACCTTATTTGGGTCTGCTTCTAATCCATCGGGGGTCAACAAATATCCGAAAAATTTCAATCGGTTACATAAGAAGTCACATTTGTCTACGTTAATCGTCAACTTATTTTCTTGCAATCTTTTAATTAGTTGGGCCACAAACCATTTATGTTCTTCGAGGGTGCCGGTAAAAATCAAGAAATCATCAGCGTATTTCCGGACGTTATTTGACCATTGGGTGGGGATAATCATGTCGGTGAGGAGTTGCAATATCGCGGGGCCATTTTTCAGTCCGAAGGGCATTCGTTTATATTGAAAGAGTCCGGGGGGAAGTCCAGGGATGGCGAAAGCAGTCTTTTCTTTACTGTCATCGCCAAGGTGAATATGGTGGAACGCCTGACTTACGTCAATTTTGGAGACGTACACCGCGCCGTGGGCACAATCAAGTAAATCTTCGAAACTCTGCATAGGGAGGGCGAGGTGTTTGGTCACGGCGTTAAGGGGGCGATAATCTATACATAACCGGTAACTATTTTCGGGTTTTTTAACTAACACCGGCCAGCTACACCAATCGCTCTGGGAGGGTTCGATAATTCCTTGTTTTAATAATTGCGCGGCTTTCTCCTGGGCGGCTTTCAGAATGTGGGGGGCATATCTACGCGTCGCGCTACGGATAGGGAGGTGATCTTGGATGTCTATATGCATCGTGAGTAAGGGGCGAACGGAGGCAATTTCGGGGGCGGGATTTATCCAACTCTTGAATTCTTCGCGGAGGGTTTTTAATTGATCTTCGGGGACGACTGCTAATTGTGCTAAATCGCAGGGGGGAGGATTGGATAAATTAAGGGGTTGCCGTGGGGGGCCTTCACCGTCTGAAGTATACCATACACTAATGGGTTGCGCCGTGAGCTTGAGGGGGTGACTATCGGGGGTTTGCGTGTCTCCACATTCAAGAGTAAACTCTAACGCGCTGAGGGCATCCATTCCTAGAATGCAATCGAAAGCAAGGGCGTTTGATAATCTGAAGGGGATGAGCTGGACTCGATCGGAATAGGCTAGTCTCATAATACCACAGCCGGCTAGTGGAACTGTTTCGCCGTTTCCGAGGACCACTTCTTCTCCGGTAGCGATGGCGTATTTGTCAAGGTCCACGCCAGCGTTAGTACTGATAAATGATCGATTTGCCCCTGAGTCGATCAGGGTGCGGAGCGAACGTTTTCCTAATTGTATTTCTACGAATCTGCGGTTATCTAGGAGTTGATTAAAGGTAAGGGTGAGGAAGTCTTCGTAATCGATGTAATCGGGGTTGGTTGGGTCATTGAGAGTGATGATAAACAGTTTGGGGTTGTCGTCAGGGACGGGGTTGGTCCCGGGGGAAGAAAGGACAGAGGTTTCAGGGATAGTTGGGGGTTGTTCGGTAGGGCTGGGGTCTGTTGAGAGTGTTTCTTGAATACGGGGGATATCCTGGGGGTCACTGGGTGTGGGGGCTGGGGAAAGACTTCGGTGTGGGCTTGGTGGTGATACAGGGGGACGTGAGGTCGTGGGAGGAGTGGGCTCAGGTGTAGGTGATACGGTGGTCTGGGGTGGTTGGGGGGGTATACGGGAAATGGGTTCAGGACAGGGTGCGCTTAAGGGTCTGGGAGTGGGTCGGATGGGAGTTCTCTGGGGGACAGGTCGGGTACGGTAACACGGGCGTATTGCTAATCGATGATCCCGCGGGGGTGGTGTGGGTTTAACACCCCCGCTCCTTAGTTTCCCTGGTTTTGATATGTTCCATACGATGGTCGGGTGTAGGACTGTGTAGGGCGAGAGTTAGAGTAATATCGGGGAGGTTGGATCTGTTGAGGTGTATTGGGGGGTGCTTGGGGAGAAAAGGCTTGTTGGGCGTAGGGGTTGAGGGGGCATTCGCGGGCGAAATGACCAGGTTGGTGGCAACGGAAACAGTGGAGGTACTCTGGGTATGGGGGTGGTTTTGAGTTTATGGGTGGTGGGTTCGTGGGAATACTCATAAGGGGTGGGATATGGCGTGGGGAGGGTGAAGTGGGACGGGGAGAAGTTCGTCCGGTTACGTCGGCGTATGTTGGTTGTCTTGGGGGTGAATTTGGTATGGCGTTACTGTTCGTCTGTCTGGGGAATACGTTACGTCGGGGTAGATATGTGTCATCTGGGGGAGGGAGATAGGGATTTCTGGAATATTGTTCTAAGGGGACGTTATCTGGACGAAGGGGCCGAGGCCATGATTTTGAGGGGTGTCAGTATCGGGAGAATGACGAATTCCGGGGTTGGCACGACGAGGGGCAGGTGAAGGGTTATGGATTGCTGAGGGATGTCTATACCGAGACGTGTCTGGCAGGGTTCTCTGAATTAACCTAGCGACCTCAATGAATTGTTCTATGGTAGTACATCTATCGCAACCCATCTCTTTAAAGTAAACCGGATTTAATAGCGATTTTAAAATTCCCAATTGTCGTTGTAAGCGGGGTGGGGGGTGGAGACTCGAGAACAGTCTACGGAGACTGGTAATGTAATCCCCTACATCTTCGTCGACGCCCTGGAAACGTTGATGAATATCCTGCCAGATACTTTCCTCTTGATCGAGGGGTCAGTACATTAGTTGAACCACTTTTAGAAAATCATCATAACTCCTGATATTTGGCAGTTCTGTCAAAGACCAGGAGTGGGGATTGTTTTTGAACGCTGAGGGGAGAACCCGAAGGGTCTCCGTCTCGGTTAGGCCGTTTGACTTACAACACAAAGTGATGCTATCGAGGAACTTGTAAGGATCCTCTTCGCGAGTTCCCGAAAAGATAATTCCATCCCTTTTAAAAATGTTACTGACCCTCAGATCGCGAGTTTGCAGGTCATATTGTGTCTCATCACGGAAGGCGGCCTTATACGTGTCCTGGAAACGAGTTTGTGGGAACCCCATAGGAGGGGAGGGGTTCGTGGTCATATGGGTGGAGGTTTGAGGGGGTGGGATTAATGGGTCCTGGATCCGAGAGTACATGGCGTATGGATTTCTGGGGGTATGCACGGGTCTTGAGGGAAGGGTCTGAGTGGGGTAGTATCGGGAACTAGTGGGGAGGAATTGAGGGTGGTCGACT